CTACTACTGCTGCTGCTGCTGCTGCTGCTGCTGCTGCTACTACTACTACTACTACTACTACTATTACTGCTACTTCTACTACTACGACTATTACTACTACTACTACTACTACTACTACTATTACTACTGCTACTAACAGTAATAATCATACTTAGTACTATTGCTAATACTAATGCTAACACGAATACGAGGACTAACGCTAATACTAGAATTAATATTAGTTCTAATAATGATAACAATCTTAATAGTAACAATAAGAACAACAATAACAATAGCACGAACAATAATGATCACCATAGTAACCATGGTAGTTAGAATACTCATAATAGCAATAATAAGAATAACAACAACACGAGAATAGCAACGATAGCAAACAATGGTAGCAGTAGTAAGACTGCCAATAATGGCATTTGTATTGATAGGTAGTACTAACTCAGAAGAATAGCAATGACCATAATACTCGTAATAATAACAACAATAATACCAAGTTAATAATCATACGGCTGATAGTGCTACGATTGCATCGCTACGACCACTACTACCACGATGTTTAGAATGCTAACCCTACATTGAACCGTTATTTGAAGCCAACTAGATCCTAGGCGTCGGCCTCCTCGTCGAAGTAACACACACACACACACATCATCGCCAAGGCATTGGGCGGGTGCCCAGTGTACTGCACTTCGGATCAGCCTTTTGACTGCACCCGGAAAGGAGCTTGCAAGAGTTGGCGGAGGTGGTGGTTTAGCACGGGAGAAGACATGGCTATTGAGCTATTGGTGTAGATCCGAGAGAGAAAGTGTATGAACCCCAGCAAGCATAGCTAAAAAGGAGTTCCGCAAAGCTGCAAGACCTGCAATCCCGGAGTTCCTTGTTTCTGCTTTCCCAGAAAATGTAGAAAGTATTCTCCCCGTACTAGGGGCATCCCGGTGTAAGGTTTCGGAGAATGGAGTTCAGATCCCTGCATTGAAGCCAAACCCGAAGCCCAGGATCACGTGCTGGGTAACGCCATACAAGGCCGCTCGGCCACGAAACCGTCAGAGTGATGGTTAGTCTGGGGTTGGGGGTTCACCCGATTCAGAAGCACCTAAGGAAAAAGCGTTCCGGGCGGTGTCCTTGCAAACGTTTGTGCCTTGCAGCTCTGCGGCTTTCTGCCGGCAGGGGAGCCTTTGCGTCGTTTTGGATTACGACAGCAAACACCCCGAACATTTCACCCGAGTTCAGGAATCTTCGGGTTCCTTGCGGCTTCTGCCTGCAGTAAGCCACACATTATGTTGAGGATGTTCTTCCAGGATGCAACTTCCTCCGGGAGGCGTTGCGAGGGTCCATGGCTGTGTAGTCGAAGTCCAACTCGAATTCGTAGTAGTAGTAGTAGTAGTA